AATTAATTAATTAATTAATATATATATATATATATATATATATATATATATATATATATATATATATATGTATATATATATATATTAGGGAATGTAGTGACCGGGAAGCGAAAGCGTTTTTCGCGCATTACAATCGGAGGCCTATTGTATATTTTGCTAGAAGCTTGATTATATATATCCGCACAGTTGCAGTACTTTTACCAACTGATACTCATAAACTCTTAGCTACAAGAGAAGCGAATGTACAGGTTTATGTGAAAGAAGCAAACCCAAAAGCATCAACATATCCACTGTAAAGTTATTAATGATTGAAATACTAAAAGCAAATTATTCAAGATAGACCAAACTCTAAACTCGGTTTATTGTAAGACTTTTATTGCAAATCTAAATTCATGAAAAAAAAACACACATTCACAAGCACACCATGACAAGTACATCCATTCATTCAAATAACTGTTCACTTTGAGCTTTCATTCTGAAGTTTTCTTATTTTTCGCAGAGTAGGTGATGATGCTGATGAACAATCAGCTTTGTTAGCTCTCTTAATCAGATTTTTACACATACAATTAAACAAACTGCGAACCATGAGGGGCGCAGTTTCGTGTCCTTGGGCACAACGGTGTTGCACAAGTGCAGGTGTAAAGGAAGTCATTTTGTCCATTATCGCTGCTTCAAACACGGCATGCTGACTGCTGGAAGAACATGCCATAAACCTTTGAAGAAGATTTTCTTTTGAGTGTAGGTCATTGAAATAAAAAAAATGCTGCGGAGCACACAGCTAAGCAGTATTCTGTAGGTTCAGACAATCCACCTCGGTCATGCAGCTCAATGACTTTTGTGTGCTCTCCAGAATTCTCTTTGTCACAAAAGCGGTCCCCCAGATTTTCTTTGCAAGACTCACATTTCGTTTTTCTACTGATCGACCTTCCAATGTACCCAGAGGTGTATATGAGGGGCAGCATATCTTTTGGATCAAGATCAGTAGGATCATCTGCCAGCTCGTCACGCAACCACGTCCATTCTACAGTAGCGGAAGGAACAGTTTTTTCAGTAAAGGCTAGCTCCTCAAATACGCCTGACCTTATAGCAGTTAGAGTACGAATTTTTTTTTCACTTTCCATAATTTGACGCACACCTATATAGAAATTGGCACAATTGAGTTGGTGGTACCAATCAAACCGCCCCTCGATGCAATCAGATGTCCATTTTCCAAGAAGACAGTAGGTAATTTCATCATAGTTTTCAAAAATATACGAGCAGAGTTGTGAAATTCCTCTAAACGTTTGCACGCAGGCTGTGAAAGTTTGGGATTTTAATCCACCTGTCTTTGTGCTTTTTTTCCACCTTTCAAAAATAACCTCCGCATCAAGTAGAATACTTTAACTGCCAATCAGTAGGAGAACTGACAGCTTCCAAGTACTTGTTTAGATTGTGTTTTCCTGAACAAATTATACACAAACATTTAGCAAAAGTTTGAATTGGTTAAAGCTTATCAAGAAAATATACATGTAGCTCTAATGGAATGCAAAGTAATAGCCATTTCTAATCATGAGATACAAATAAATGAAATCACATTTTAAAGTTTATTATGCAATTGAATATAATTAAAGATAAAAATGGTACAAAAAAGCAAAAGGAAATCACTCTATAAATACAAAAAATAATTATACTAGCAGAGATTTTTAAAAATTTATTGCAACTAGACATATAAACATAGACTTCACCTTGAAAAGAATGTTTTAGTCCTAAGATATTCCATAGTCTGTTTATATACTCTAAGAACATTGCAGTGTCATTCCATCCTTTTTTATTGTACAGCTTCAAACCAGCCACAGTTGAATCATGAAAAATACCTTCAAGTTATACTTAAATTTAAAAAATTGTTGTTATATAGATCTATTGAAAGTATTAGATTTACTTTTAGCATGAACAGGTGAAGTTCGTTGGATGTTATTTGGTTTGAGACTGACCATTGTCAGTTTGTGAGCTACTTTTAAGGGCATCATTTCTTCAGTAGCATACAACTTTTCAACATGACGGAAGTCAGCAATTAATTTTGGAATTTCCCCATCATCAACATCAGTACGGTCAGGTAACAAAAAAATGTTCTTATTGATCCAGCTGTTGAAGATATTTTTGAAATTATGTGTTGTATCGAAGAGAAGAAAAGTTTGTTGGCCATTCCGCATGCACGATGTTTCTAGTTTTCCATTGCAAAGCTCGGTATAGAAAGATCTGTAATAATCAAATAATTTAATTTCTCAAAATAGAAAATCAACAGACCTTAAAAAATATAAAAATAAAATTATTTGTATAAGACTAGCTGGCTAAATGTACCCACCTGTTTGTAGATAAATTGTCCATAGAAACAGCTAGCAAAGTGACATATCTCTTCAGCTTAGTTGTAACAATCTCAAAATGATGGCGTAAAACAGCAGGGTTAAGACCAGCAACCGCTTTTAATCCTACAACATCTTTATATTTGCAACACAGCGATTTAATCATAAAACACAAAACAGTTCTAGCAACTTCTCTATTTTTTGTCAAACCAAAGACAGACCCGTTAAAATACTCCAGTCGCTTTGCAGTGTGAATTTCATCACATATCAACATGACAATTTTTTCTGACTCAGAGAGTGCTTTCAACCTTGCTTCTAAGTAAGGCTGGTTAAGATCTTCAACATTTTCAGCAAAAACAGAAGACAATTGCTGAATTCTACGAACACTAGGAAGAATAAACAATTCTTTTAGAGTTTCATAGAGCTTAGGGCTTATCATTTGCCACAAAAATGAAACAGTTGTTAGTTTGTTAGAATATTTTCTAGCTTGTTTCTTGACTAAAGTCAGCTTTGGCTGAGCCTTTACAAATTCCAACAATGGTGCAAAGTCACCCAAACAGCCCTTTTCTATAATGATTCCCAATAATTGATTAATGTTGTTCATATTAGAACAAACTTCCTCTTCACAGAGCTCATCTTCCTTATAAGTGTTCTTCAAAAAAGCTAACAGATTAGAGAAATGTGTAGTGCTATTAATAGTATTTTCTTTTGATAACAAATGCTTGCACTTTGATAAACCTATTTCAACGGAAATCTTTCCAACATCTTTATAAATGGTAACTGTTAAGTCGTTCACTACAGTAATTGACAAAGTAATGTCAAGAGGCTCTTTCTCTTTATTATTATTAATTAGTGCATAGGACAGATGAGTGTTCATTTTGATACATATATAACCTTCAGGAATTAAAGTGTCTTTAATTTTCTCAACAAAATCATCAAAACAAGTTACCTTTTCTTCTTCCATTACAAGATTCTGAATCTGTCGTTCACTCTAATGCCACTCGAGATGCCGCAGAAGCTCGGGTAGATCTTTGAGGTATCCTTGGACTGCTCAGATAAGCTGGACAACTTGGTAGCTTGCTAGGAACAGCAAAAGGTTTCAAACGATTTAAGTTTAGCTTAACAGGATTGCTTTTACGACGAGTTTCATTTGTTTTGTATCCACTCTATCTAACTGTATGTCTTCATCCTGAAAATGTAACTTACACAGTCGATGATTTTTGGTGGGACGGATATCCTTCAGCGATAAAAAACGTATCCAATAAAATCGGATCACTCAATGGCAATCTAAAGAGTCTTAATTTTCCGACACTTGTATTGGATTTATAACCAGTTTTACAACCTGGAGCGCAAAACTTATTAACCATTTTAAAGAACAATCCGTAATTATAGTAAAAAGTTAGAACTACTAAATTTTACAAAAAAATACAATGATTTAAATTTCGTATTTACGAACGAGACACTAAATAAACACGAGACACGAACGAGATAATTACTAAACTGCAGCACGAGGTGTGTTGAAATGAAAAGAAAATTATTAAAAAAGAATCTATGTTTTAATCATTCATTAAAACAATTCATTCAATGATCCTCTGTAATCCCTTAAAGGACCATTGAGGCCGATGGTATTTTTCTATCTCTCCAAAATCCTTTTCTTTCCCTCGCCATCTTCATTGAGCTCAATGTTCCAACCCCCGTCCATTCCGTGATATCATCCATCCACTTCCTCACAGGTCTTCCAACTTTTTTCTTCCAGTCCCTCTTTCTCATCAGTACTTTTTTGATCAGTCTGTCGTCTGTCATTCTGCAGATGTGCCCAAAGATACCCAGCTTTCTTTCCTTGACACTTTCGTACACAGTTTTTTGTCTTCCAAGTTGTTTTCTTATGGCATCGTTTCTTATCTTTTGTCTCCAACTGATTCCCAGCAACTTTCTATAACAATGCATCTTGAATGCTTCCAGTTTGTCTTTGTCTCTTTTCTTCAACGTCCAAGCCTCACATGCATACATCAATGTAGAAAACACACACGCTTCTTCGATCTTTACCTTTGTTTTTGTAGATACATTACCATTTTTCAATATTACTTTCAAAGATGCAAACATTCCTCTCGCGATTGCTATTCTTCTATCAATTTCTTTTGAACAATTATTGTCATCAGTTATGAGGCTGCCCAGATATATAAATTGGTTCACTTGTTCGAGCTTTTCTGCTCCTATCTGGAATTCATCATTGTTTCCACCTGCTTCCGAAATCATTATCTTTGTCTTACTGCTGTTGATGTGTAGTCCATGGTTTCTTCCACCACCGTACGTCAACTCGATCAGTTTCTGTTGACCCTCTGCACTAGATGCTAGCAGATCTATATCATCTGCAAACCTGAGGTCCCTTATCACTCTGCCTCCAATGTCGATTCCCTCAATATCTGCATTCTCCATTTTTTCCAAGGCTCTTTCCAACAGTGCTAAGAACAATAATGGTGATATTGGATCTCCCTGTCTACTTTCTATGCTCGCTTTGATCCAGTCTCCCAGCTCTGTACCTACCTTTACCGCCATTGTTGACTCTTCATAAAGCCCTTTCAGCACCCTTACCATTTTTGTTGACACTCCCATACTTTCCAAAGCTGTCCACAAATCTTCGTGCCAGACTGAATCAAACACCTTCTAAAAATCCACAAAACAATGAAAAGTTGTTTGACCTCTGCTTCCTGCATCTTCCAACAATAGTCTCAACATCAGGATTTGCTGGACTGTATTTCTGTCCTTTCTGAAACCTGCCTGCTCCTCTCCTAAATGCTGCTCTATGTCTTTCTCCAATCGTTCTTTCAAGATCGTCAGCATGATCTTGCACATATGAGGGATCAGTGCTATTGATCTGTAGTTGTTGCAGTCTTTCAGGTCTCCTTTTTGGCAACATGATCAAGATTGATTTACACCAATCTTCTGGCTATTTTCCACTGTCCCAGATTTCTTGGCAGATTTTGTGAATCTCATTACATACAATTGGTCCTCCCGCTTTGATCAGCTCTATGGGAATTCCGTCTCTCCCTGTGCTCTTGTTGTTCCTCATTTTCTTCATTGCTTTTATTACTTCCTCCAATGTTATTTCCGTTTCTTCCTCATTGACTACTTTTCTTTCTTTTAAAGCCTGTAACACTTCCTTTGTATAGGTGTTTTTATCTGTGAACAGGTCCTTGATATATTCCGACCATCTATCTTTAATTTGTTGGCCTTCAGTTAGAACATTTCCATCCTTGTCTTTAATAATCCTTGACGTTTTCCTTTTAACTGTCTGACTAGCTGATACGCCTCTCTTGTTTTGTTTTGTCCAACTAGTGCTTCTACCCTTTCGCATCTATCGTTTATTCATCTTCTTTTATCTGCTCTGGCACTTTTCTTTAATTTGCAACACTGTTGTTTATATTTCATCTCATTTTCGTTGTTTTGTCTTTTTGTTGCTTTCAACTGTCTTCTTTCCTCTACGAGTTTCCAAGTTTCATCACTTATCCTGGGTTTTATTATGTTTTTCCCTACTTCGCATTTTTCGGCTGCAGTCTTAAGCACTTTCTCCAAGTTACTGACTCTTGTTTTCATATCGTACTTTGTTTTTGTATCCAATTTGTTTTCTATTACATTTCTGATGTCTTTCAACTTTTCTTTTATCATTTCTGTGCTGTATTTCACTCTTTTGATATTTTCGCCTGACTTTAGTCTCTTCGTTATTTTCATCTTGACGTTGCATAACACTAGACGATGATCTGATCCAATCTCTGCACTTGGAAAAGCACGGCACTGAGTAACAAATTTCATCCATTTCTGTTCTATCAAAATCAAATCTATCATGTTCGTTGTTTTTCCATCTGGTGATTCCCATGTCCATTTTTTTGTGTTTTTGTATTTGTTATATACATTTTTTGGTCCTTTCAAATTCCAGCAGTCTGCAGCCTCTAGTCCCCAAAGCTGCAGCGTGGGCCTTGTTCACCCAGGCGATGTCCGAGCCGGTATGTGCATATTTTTTTTGGACTACCATCGTGTTGTTAGCGTTTTTACGACAGTGTAGCAAGTTCCTGTCAACCATTCTTTTCTATCCGGACTTTGGACCGGCACCTGATATTACTGGACCGCAACTCAGGTGGTGGAGTGTGGTTTTCTGTCTGGATTTGCTCCCATAGCCTTTCCCATGAACAGGTATGCCGCAAGGCAGCGGAGGTTTGAAGTCAGAGTTTTCCTTCTCCTAGGTAAATAGCCGACTAAGGCTAACGAGCTTCACCTGCCCGAAGCAACTAGTTATGGCGCCAGTTATTCGCCTTCGCCCCTTTTCCTGTTAGTTTAAACAGTTCTGCCGCGTGAAGGCCATGAGTTGGGCTTGGTTGTCAGAGGCTCTTTGAGACGCTTGCCATATGGGAGCATTTTATAGATGATGGGAGCTTATCCCCATCACCACCCCCGGCATTAACAACCATTTAGAACCATTAAAACAATAGTTATATCAAATATCAAAACTATATAAAAAATTAAAAAAAAAGGAGTTATTAACTTAATAATAATCTGCACAATTAAAATTACGTACTAATTCAATTAATTTTGTCATAAAAGTATGTGATATAATGAAAATTTTATCATAGGCCTCCGATTGTAAAGGAAAGAAAAAAATTTCTTTCGCTTGCGCTTCCCTGTCACTATGTTCCCTAATATATATATATATATATATATATATATATATATATATATATATAATATATAAATCAACAAATAAAAAACAAAAATCAGCCATATCATCATACTACAATATTCATGTTTCCAAGTTTATATTATTATCATTGTTATTGTTATTATCATTATTATTATTATTATTATTACTATTGTTGTTGTAGTTGTTGTTGTTGCTGTTGTTATTGTTGTTATTACTATTATATTATTACTATTGTTGTTATTGTTGCTGCTGCTGTTGTTATTGTTGTTGTTGTTATTGTTGTTCTTGTTATTGACAATGATGATGCTGTTGTTGTTAACATTAGTATTGGTGTTGTTGCTGCAATTATTAACATTATTGTTGGTGTTGTGGTCATGGTCGTTGACATCTCTAATATGGTTAACATTGTTGTTGGTAGTAACATGATTGTTGGTGGTGGTGGTGGTTGTTATTGTTGTTATTGGTGGTGAGAGAATTATTAATTAGTTTAGATAACTGCTTGTGAGTCGGAAGTACTGTTATACTTTGTAGCTGAACATTTAATTTTGGATTTTTTATTTCTATTAATATGGCTTCGGCTATCTTTAAGGTGAAATAATCGGAATTTTTGTAAAGAACATTTGTGTTATTGTCAAGAATTGAACGTGTTAATGTTGTATTATGTGTTGTTTCTATATGAGATTTGATCGCACCTCTCTTTTGTGCATGGTAAGTCGACGAGAATGTTGAGTGGTGGTCATTCCTATATATGAAGAAGTTTGGTGCACACAGTTACCAATGGGACAGGAAAATTCATATATAAGATGACTATTTTTCATGATGGAATTGTTGTTGGGTTGACAGTTACTTTTGATTATCATGTGTGATGTTTTGGCGTTTTTACAATATATTCTTAACTTAACTTTGCAATTGGGATTGACGGGTTTGATATTGTTGTAAATCAGTTTTCTTAAAATGTTTTCATCTGTTTTATATGAAGTGGACATGATGTTGCGGTAATATAGAATAATATCTTTATCATTATTATTATTATTGTTGTGAATGCTGTTGGTAGTATTGTTATTGTTATTATTGGCGTTATTAAATGTTCAGCTGCAAAGTATAACAGTACTTCCGACTCACAAGCAGTTATATCTAAACTAATTAATAATTCTCTCACCACCAATAACAACAATACAACCACGTTACCACCACCACCACCAACAACCATGTTACTACCAACAACAATGTTAACCATGTTAGAGATGCCAACGACCATGACCACAACACCAACAATAATGTTAATAATTGTAGCAACAACACCAATACTAATGTTAACAACAACAACATCATCATTGTCAATAACAACAACAACAATAACAACAGCAGCAGCAACAATAACAACAACAATAGCAACAGCAACAACAACTACAACAACAATAGTAATAATGATAATAACAATAACAATGATAATGATAATAATATAAACTTGGAAACATGAATATTGTAGTATGATGATATGGCTGATTTTTGTTTTTTATTTGTTGATTTACTTTATGGTCGTTTTTTCAGCAATTTTAAAATTTTAATTTATTTTGTTTAATTCTAATATATATCTATGTAAATAATTTTAAGTTAATTTTATCAATATGTTAAATATATAGTATATAATAATTAATAATAGTATTTTCAAAAATGTTTCGCGCTTAAAATTAAGTTATACGGTATGACGTCATTTGTTTATAAACGGTAATTTTCGTTATTATTTAAAATATTTTGCACTGACGATGATATATTTTATATCGAAAAAGCTTTCTGCAATTATTTATTTTAATAAACATGAACAATAATAATTTTAGTTTTG